GTTGAAAAATGCCGGTCCGAAGTGGTTAACCAACTTTAAAATGGTTTTCTTGAAAGTTTACTTTGGAGAAATTTGCTTCTTAATGAAAGTCATGATAATGTAATGATTATGAAATGATGGTAATGTAACACTTCAGTGCAATCCATGCATTCCAAATTGCATGAAAAACCCTTATCCGTTTGTATTTGTGTTGCTTTTTCCTGACATGTGCTCCGTGGGCTATTGACACTACCGATCAGTTGAAAATGCTGAACATCAGAATCAACCAGTGCAGTCGATTTCAGTACGCAAGTGGCTTATTCAGCTATTTTTGGTTCACAGTTGTTTAAAAGTTTCTCTTTTGCTAATTTTTTCATTATTCTAATTAAAGTCAGATTTTGGAATTGCTAGAAAAAAATTAATAATTCTATTTGTAACTCTAGTGATCACTTCCAAGAAAGTGTGATGGACAAACAGCAACATTGAAAATATCACTAAATGTACATGTCTACAACACAAACTTACTTTTGGGGAAAACTCCAGGGTCAACGAAGGTAGCAAGCACGAAATTGAGGAAAACCACAGAGAATAGAACAGCTGAGTAAACAGCAACTGCAGGGTGAATAGTGTTAACCAAACATGGCAATCTACAAGAGGGAGAATTAACACGAAAAAATAAAAATATTGTTAGGTGTACAGGTGTTGACAGCCAGTGAAAAGAGAAATGCACAACCCCTCCCAAAAATGTGGTGGTCTGGGTCATGTACATGATGTACAAGGTAATGTTATATTTCTCCTGGTTCCAGATTGCTTCAAATAAAAGCTGACCACTTTTGGATTTGTCTCTAATGCTAAATTTTCTGGTAAGTAATGTTTTTGAAGTAAAATGTAAAGTTTTTGTTGTTTAAATGTTGTTTTCCGAAAATTTCTGCAAGTTAGGAAATTTATCCAGATTTCCAACTCACACTAAGACAAGTTTTGAAGGTTTGAAAAATTTTAAGGAATCACAAAATCAAACATTTACAGGGCAATACGTCACTTACAACATACGAATTCAAATTGTTGTTTTCTATTTCTACAGTCATAAAACTCTTGCGTTGAATCTCTAACTCTGCAGGCACTAACAGAGTCTCCATTAGATTATCTTTTGAGTGTGATTAGTTTGACCCAATTCTGAACTGGTTAAACCAATCCTGTACTGAGAAAAGTTGCATCAGCTGTTCCACAATCCTGCATTTTCCAAATTCATAAGGCCCATCACTACACTGAACTGGAACTAGATATTACCCCACAAACTATAACTATGGTTCATAACACACTGATTTATCATCAATCCCAGCAGCTAAGGGAGGACAGCTGTTGCGTTCGAAGGCATTTTGCATTCCTCCAATGATTTGCCAGAATCAGTACTGTATGTTGTACAGGTTTATCCGACAAAGGTGAACTGCAACTAGAAGTGAATAGGAGAGTTCCAGACCACCTTCCCTCCCCTGGGTACCTACCCAACCCTCCCAAAAACGAAAAAACCCCAAATTTTCTCGCTCACCAACACAAGAGCCACCCTCCCCCACAACGAGAGTCGATTTCTCTATCTTGGAAAAACAAAGAAAATTCACCACATTCACATTGAGACTCGAGATGCCAGCTCGAAACAAAAAATCACAATAGAAAACAAAAATCCAAAGTCAACTCTGAAGCAAAAAAATATCTTTTTAAAAGTTGTACTCATTGTAAAGGTTGTTTTGCATGTTGCTTTTGTAGAAGAAGCGAAGGTTGTACTGATTGTGCAGATTATTTGAATTGTTATCTGGTTATAGCTGTTATGGTTGTGCTTCAAATAATGGATCAATGGGATTTTAAAAACAATAGGCAAGATATGGAGATGTATTATAAATATCAATTATACCTTGCAACAATTGGGGATAAAGATTTTAATTAATCAAAAAATTCCATTAAAATTATGAAAAAGATCCACAATCTAGTTTAATAATATAAAAAATGAAAAATATTACATATATTAAAACAAATCAAGTATTCAAAAAGAAAACAAAGAAGTGTAGTGACTGTCGAAAAAATAAACTATTGTCAGAGTTTAAATTAAAACTCAACCAAACGATCAGTAAATGTTGCTTGCGATGTTTAGAAAATAACAAATACAGAAATTATTGCAAACATGGATGGTATAAATATGATTGTTCGGAATGTAGACCACAGCATACCAAAGAAATAGCTCATAATGTCAAAGGTTATATACCACAAGACCTGTATTGCGAGCACAAAAAATATAAATCAATTTGCAGCATCTGCACACCTAAACAATATCCACGCAAGAGTTAACTGAGTCAAACAAATAGACCTCACTCTCAGTTTTGAGATTGAGGTTTAAGTAAAGTTAGTCTCTTTCTCTAAAAATAGAGAAAGACGTCAATGCCAATAATAACGAAATTAGATATGTATATTATAAAAAAGACTAATATAAAACAAATGGATGTGCCAAATAATAAAGATGCCAGACCACAGTACAGACCACTACTTTCTAACTTTAGATATTTTAGAAAGTCATTTTTATTAGTTTTTGTAAGGGAATATAATATACCCTTGCCTCCACCCCAGAGCCAACAACATACTAAACCAGAACTCATACGCACGATCCAAACGAACCAGCGCCCATTTAAAAAGTTACAGTGTAATACGTATCATCAGCTCTTACAAATAGTACAAGACAACCAAATACCCCATACAGGTACGGGTGCAAACAGTAACGTGCAGCGAAAAGATCTCATCGATGCGATTAACTCTAACACTCCTCAGTCCTCCAACAGGTGAAGGATTAAGGAGTATGAAGGTTAATAAATTTACTTGACCGGAAGCAATGGCCGAGGTAGACATCCAAAACATCCAACGGTTTCAAGGTAATTTTGGAAACTGGGGACTGAAGCCTAGTTTTTTGAATACGACCTAGTACACCTTTTTGATTTCTACAAAAGCTACATGGAAGCAAAAGCACTGGCCGAATTTCAAGAGATAGGTGCCTACAAGTTGAAAACTCCGATCGAAGTCAAGTTTAAAATAGTACGACCGGATCGGCAGACCGAACTTGGTATCTTTATGTTTACTAGTGAAAACACCGTGGTGTTTACCAAACGAGACGTCAAGAAAGCGTTACAAGAACAAAAACAGTATCCCACGCGGTAAGTCGACGCTCATACTCAAAGGGGTTCTGGGTAAGTATTTGACAAAGTCGTCATATTTTATATCAACGTGGTGTTGCTCTATAATCCAGTCAGGGCTAGTTACATACCGCTACCTAAAAAGTTAGCAGCTAAAAACGCACTTATCAACGTCCAAAATAAGAAAGACCAGCAGTGTGTACGCTAGGTGAATCAAGTGGCTAAAGGAGTTTATAGAGACAATGTCAGACACCAACTCGCAACTAATCCGAGATATAAATGAGACAATGTCAGACACCAACTCACAACTAATCCGAGATATAAATTACACGAAGATAGACCAAACACCTACAAAGAATCAGATGGTTTAAATTTTACAAACGTTGACTTTCCCACTCCGATATCTCATATTTCACGCATCAAAGACCAAAACAACTTGGTGATCAACATATTTGGTTATACAGCGAAAGACGGTGTGGTTTTGCTTCACAAGGCCAAAGCTAGAGGCAAAGAGATCAACTTACTTTATTTTAAAAACGGTGAAAAAGCTCACTATTGTTGGATCAAACATTTCTATAGATTGATGGGCGATAACAGCAATCACTATGGCTGAAAACATCGGTGCCTGAATTGTATGTGTCACTTTCAAACACAACAAAGACAAGACAACCACAAAGAAGACTTTCAAGGAAAAGACGCCGCTGCGACCAAGGTTGTTCTGCCTGAAAAAGGCAAACACATCCTCAAATTTGAAAATCACAAGAATAAACAGGATGCCCATATGTCATCTGAGCCGATTTTGAATCTGTGCAGCCGCAAGAAGCCAACACAACCAAAACTCAGCATCACAAGCGTACGTAATCGTGCGTTGCGATGGTGAATGCATGAGTCACAAAACTTACCGTGGACAAGACGCAGCCACTAATTTTAAAGAGTCTTTCTCGCGAGACACAGAAAAAGATTAAGGAAACATTGGCTGAACCAAAACTGCTTGTTTGGACGCCTGAGCTAGGAAAACGACATGATGCGTGTAACAAATGCTGGATCTGTAAGAGGCGTATCTACCCAACAAAAGAAACACAGTGTAAATGTCGTATCCCACAAAGACCAAAAACTAAATTCCAAAGGATAGAATTTAGCTTGAAAAACGACCGCAGCTACATCGACTACATTTGCATAAACTATAAAATAGGTATTGCACGACAGTGTTTGAAGAAAGTTCTTCAGTTCGCTCCGCTCGGGTGCAGCCGGTAACTGACTTATGCGGTCTAACTTGATGGCTTCTGTGGGAATTGCGTCGATTAATCTGGTCTTTTCTTTGTCTGGCAATTTTAGAACCTGGGGTAACCTTGTAACCCATTCCACGTTTTGTTTACCCGGGTTTAACATTTCTTGTGCGTACTGACATCCAAACAAGTGTTCGGCCAATGTTCTGTTAAATCATTCTTTGATCCCCTGCGATCGATGGGCACCCGGTTCACCCTCTTGTATTTGGACACCTTTTTCATGAGCATTTTTTAAATCTCACCTTAAAATTCCAATCCCGAGTCAACGTTAACTGTTTTAGGCCAAGTCAACTGCGACCTTTTGTAAACCCGTTTGATAGCGTCGGTCACTTATTCAGCTGTTTTAGTTGTCAAAGGTTCGGCTTCTTTGTATCTGGAAGCCATGTCGACCACCGTTAACGCGTACTTGCACGTTTTACCCCTTGGACCTTTGGAACTCGATCCCAAGGCAAATACAACACACCCATTTGATGCGTGTCGTTGGGAATGGCATATTCCAATTGTAAAGTATTTGGCCTGGTTATATACCCAGGGGCAGGCAAATAAATTTGCAACACAACCAGTTGTTTTAACCAACTTCTCACCGCGCGCAAGTGATCTATGGCACTTTCACCTTTCCAATAACTTTGCGAGCTACAAAACAATTTTGATAATTCTTTGTCCCTTTCTTTATCCATGCTTTTTCAAAATTAAAGCTTTTTAAAATAAAGTTAAACAAAATGATACGCCAAGAAACCGACCAACGCAGTTCCCCCAAGGACCCTAATGAGCTCTTTAACGTGTTGGTCTTCCGAAGGCACGTAAAAATCTGACAACTTGGGTTCAGGCAGCATCATCTGCAACACATTTTCTCCCGTCAATTCCAAATAAGCATGCAACGCTTCATCTACGTCGGTAAATTTGTGTTGAATAGCGCGTTTTTGCCTCATGCATTCATTTACCAAATCTAATAAATGAACGCGTTGGCATTCCCAGGTTTGTTTGGCTTGCAGCAATTGTTCCACGGCTAAATCGCGTCTCTTTCTTTCTTTGTCCACTCTTTTTTAGGACAGGCTGCTTAACAAAAAGTTGGATCCAGTAAATGCTAGCACGTTGACTATTCCTCCTACCATCATTAATGCACTCGTCATTTTATTTTATAAAGGCTTTAATTTAAAATGAGCCAAGAACTTCTTTTAGAGGTCAAAGACA